CAAGTGTACGGACCTCTGGGAAGCTGAGGCCAGGTCAGCTGGCTTTTGAATCCGGAATTGGGGTCTTTTTATCTAAGGATGAAGAGGGGCTGGCTGCCAGCTGCCAGTCAAAGGCAGAAGAAGGGGTTCTTTAGGTCCAGCAGGTGTATAGTAGGCTGGGGATGGCAGCACGCCGAGGCAGTGTCCATGGCTCAGAGATCCTGCGCTGGACCATGCTCCCCTCTGGGTTTCTTTACAAGCAGTTTAACAATCTATAAATATTTTGTAGTTTTGAAGCCTCAAAGTAGGGCTTAATTTCTAGTTCAGTTTCTTGTGGCTTACAGTACTGTCTGCTCAGAGCCCGTGGCAGAGCTGGATGGAGCTGAGAAACCGGCTGTCCTGGAGAGAATGTGATGGGAACCTGGCCAGGTTCTGTTATTGGAGCCTCTAAGAAAATACCAGGAGAGATTTTAACCCGTTGTGGCAGTGGAGTCCAGGGGAGCTGCCCTTTTTGTCCCGTCTCATAGTCTTTTTAAGGAGTAACCCACAAACAAGACATCTTTTACATCCAGCTCTGTAGACCAGTGGATCAGAGGTGTAGTTCACATAGGGCATGTGGGTTGGGAGCCACAGAGTGCAAGGTGGTTAACAGTCTGCCCGGGCTTGAACTGCTTTAGGTGTCTGAGTGTGGCTGGATGCCGTGTGCTTTGCATGATGTGGGACATGGTCTGACAGCAGCGGGGGTATCGATGAGGTGGCATGGTGGATGACCAGGCCCGAAGACGAGTCTGGCAGTCTGGCTTAGGCCTCCAGGAGGAGTTTTCTGAACTTTAGGATTATAGGTGTGGTCTTCTTCTTGGGGAACAGTAGAGTTGGAAGTACAGGGTTAAACGAGAGGGTGGCTGACAGGCTTGGTATGAAAGAGATGATTGCTTTTAACCTGAAGCGGGGGTCTCTTCCTAAAAGTGGCATGGAGACAGATTCCACGAAAATGCAGGTTTGGTGAGCTGTCCTCTCAGGCTACAGGCTTGTGCCTGGCAGAAGGGGTGAGAGGCAAGCGTCCCAGTTGCCCCAGTGATGCTTTTTGACAGAGGAGACTTTTGGAGGCAGAGAATTCTTTTCCAGTGTCTACCAGGAAAGGTATAGATTGGATCCCAGTACAGACATGGATGCCTTTGAGAGGCCTTTTCTTTTGAAGCACTTATTTATTAGTGTCCGTGGCCCTTATGTCAGGCTTCTGGGTAAGAGTGGTAACTTATGATTTGGGTTTTTTCCCCTTTGATGTCCTTGAGAAGCGTATGACTGATGTTTGATTTCTGTGCAGGGTCACCATTTGTCAGGACTTACAGTCTAATTTGTCCTCAGTCAAAATGTGGAACCCAGAAGAAATTGCTGACGGTCGTCTGGGGTGGGGCTAGAGGACACCTGCTGGCCAGGACAGGAAGCAGAGGCTCTGGAGGGAGGGCCTCCGTGGCGGAGCGCAGACGTGGCCGGCGGGCGGGTCCAGCTTGCCTGGCTGGAAGCAGACGGGCCACAAGTGGAGAGTGAGGCTGTGGGTGTTGGCGGCCGCTGTGCCTCAGTCGGGCGAGGGCTGCATGGCAGGATCCTCAGGATCGATGCGTCTCTTTTTTTCCTTTTGTTTCCTTTTTTGAGATGCACAGAGTGGTTTGGTTTCTTTTTTAATTCTGTACCCTCAGCAAAGCCCTTTTGCCTACAGTCAGGGACTGTGGGTTTTGAGTAATTAATTGCCATCTCTGGCGTCCTACTTGTGTGTTGCATACCCTTGAATGATGGCACAGTAGACAAAGAATGGATGCCAATCAGGGAGGACCATTCAGATGCCCACCTGAATGTGCCCCTTCCAGAGACTTACATGCCACTTAGCTACGGAGGGTGCAAGGCCTCCTTTAGACCACGAGTCGATCGCCATGGAACTGCAGGGGAGGGCCCAACCAGCCACCCTGAGCGGTGCTTCCCTGTCTCGGTGCGCAGCTAGAGCAACCTGTGGCTCATGCCCCCCATTCTACTCACACATTCATGCAGCAGGACTCCGGGCTGCACGGCCCAGCCGCCTTCCCTTGGGAGATGTCCTGGGTCTCGCTGCTCAGGAATGAAGTCATGGAGCCGGGTATGGTGGCGCATGCCTGTAATCCCAGCACTTGAGAGGCTGAGGCAGGAGAATCATTACAAGCTCAAGACCAGCCTGGGCTACAGAGGAAGCTCAGGGCCAGCCTGAATGGCGTAGTAAGACCCTGTCTCAAAAAGACAAAAGAAAAAAAAGCAAGAAACACAGTTCGTCATTGTGTCTGCTGTCAGAGGTGGCAGGCAGCACAGCATACGGGGGTGCCCCCACCACCACCTTCTTGGGTACCAAGTTGTGCTTCCTGCTGCACCACGTGGAATTACGAAAGGATCCAGCGTCGTGTTCTGTGCTTCGAAGGGCTCCGGGAGTCTCGTTCGTGATGCCTAAGCCCTTCCTAGGTGAGCTTGCCCCTCAGCAGTTAAGGGGGAGCTATTAAAACTGTATTTTCACTGAAGTTTGTGGAGGAAGAAGTTGAGGAAGGGCTAGGGATACACAGCTTAGCAGCACAGCACCTGCCAGACCAAGCCAGGTCCTGAGTTCAGTGTGTAGTGCTGAAGAAAAACGGAAGGAAGGGAGGTCTTTTCTTGGAGGAAGCTGAGGAGAGCAAGTCATGCAGATACTAAACCAAATGGGGAGACAAAAGCTGGTATCACATCAAGTCTTGGCAAGAGCGTGAAGGTACACTGGGCAGGATCTAGAGAGGAAAGTAAGGTGAGGAGGCTGGGCGGACTGGAGAGGGGCAGCTGTGACGCCGTTGGACGGGCTGTGCTCTCGTCACAGTGTTTTGACATTGAGAACTGCTGCCATCCGTTGAGTTGGCAGCTGTGTGTTGGAGCCTAGAAACGACGCCTTGTGTGGGTTGTTGATGGTGCCTGCTCGCCTGTTGCACACGAGGACTTTGAAGCCTTGAGAACTATAGATTGTGTGTTTTTATTTATTTTTAATTTGGTGGAACCTGCGATTGAACTCGGGTCCTTGCACTTACCAGGGAAGCGCTTATTCTACTGAACCATATCCCTGGCCCCAATAGGTTGCCACAAGTTTTTTGTTTTTGTTTTTTTTTTAGGAATTGGGGGTTGAACTCAGGCCTTTGTGCTTGCCAGGGAAGCGCTTGTTCTACTGAGCCATCTCCGCAGCCCCTGATTATGTATTTTTACATCGTAGATTTTAAGAGTGTTTCTTCATTTAAAAAAATAATTTTATTGAGAAACAAATAGCAATGAGACAGTTTCAAAACTGAATAGTAGGACAGTTTCCATAATTAATGCATTGCATATTGTTGTCTTCATAGTGGTTATTCATAGTGCAAGGTGCAGACATGATATCCTGTCCAAACACTGTTAGTACAAATCTTTCTTTCCATTGAATTAAGAGAAAGTAGCTGTATATGTATCCTAACTGTTTTGTATATACAGATACAAAATGGTCCTTCATTTATATCCCCTTTTTTTGTTTAGTTTTGTCAGAGATGGGTGTTGCATTGCCATTGAAATATTGTAGGTATGTGTCATGTCATATCAGTTACTGCTATACTGTCTCTAAAGTAAATTTTTTTTTTTTAAAAAAAAGGTAATAAATGAAAACAGACAAGGAAAAAAAATGTCATAGGACTGTCCTGCTACAATGCTGTATATGCTTAGATTTCTAAATTTCTGTGTAAAAATATGTAATTATTCCTATCTTTTTTTTTTAAATCTTTTTTTTTTTAAATTTTATTGATTTAT